AGAGTGTCAATTTCTTATCTTACATGGGTTGATTAATAAAAAATATTATTTTATTCTGTATACTTAACTATAAAAAATGCTTAAATACTTTTAATCTTAAAAAATGATAACATCAGCTATATTAAATTAAAAAATAAAAGGTATAACATCAAAAGTGTTAGAGAAAATACAAAGCCAAATATATATGTATAATATACAAAAATTGTTAAAAGCCAAAGAAAATTTGAATAAAACACAAAAATAGAAAATATAAAATAAGGTGACACAGCAAGAGCAAGAATATCCAGATTTAATTACTTCTTACAGAAAACATACTCAGATTTGTTTACACAAAGTACATCTGGTATTTGCTGTTCATAGGAAGTACATCTAAAATAATATAGCATTGAAATATTTAAAATAGAGTAATACACAGATAAGACTGTATTAGATTTAGAATTTAATAAACTTATAAAAGAAACACTCTAGAACCAATAAAATTATTCTTAAACATAATTTAATGGAGTATGAATATGCTGATATATATAAGTAAAATTAACTTTTAGAAAATATGTATGTATGCATATAAGAATGCATATACATATATAACGAAGATAATTAGAAGAAAATATATACCAAACTCTTAATATTGGTGGGTGATTATGAATTATATTAATTTTTTCTCAGTACTTTTCCGTATTTTGTCATTTTATTTAAAAAACATTAATACAAAACACAAAATACTGTGATAAATGAAAAGACATACATGCTTTTGGATTGAAAAGCAGAACAGTGATGTCAATTCTTTCTAAATTAATTATGTATTTAACACAACTATTCAAAATGGTTTCTTAAAAGTGGCTAAGATATTTTAACATTTTAAAATATAAAAAGCAAAAGTAGCCAAAAATTTCAACAGGAAATAGTATATAAAATATAATGAAATATTGACAATTAAAAAGATGAAATGAAATACACAAAATCATTCCTACCAATTAAGGTGGTGGAATTATGAATTCAATTTTTTTCTTTATATTTTTCTATGTACTATAAATTTACCCCAATGAGTACATCTACTTTTATAAACAATTAAAATAATTGCTAATTATATTATTATAATCTTTAAAATTATAGTCAAATGATGGAATCAATATGACTTTATTTTTCTTATATGTGGCTATATTCTCTAAATTCAGCCTATGGAGCACATATTATTTCTCAATTTAGAGACAAAATTGTTTTTAAAAAACTGTATGACAACACCCATCTTCCACAGTGGTAAAAGTCAACCAACACCCCACTGCTCCAATTTAAACGTGTTTCCTCTTGAACAGTCTTCAGAGGCGATGGGGAAAAGTTTCAGTTTTTAAACAACAGGTGATCTGACATGTCATCTTTTCCGAAAGAGCTGAAATGAGTTAGTCTACAATTCAGCCTTCCTATGAATTGCTTAGTTTTCTGCAAAAATGTCAGTTTTTATTTTGACTTAGTTTGACAGAGTAAAGAGCATGGAATTTTCCAGAAGAATAAGCTCGTCTTTGACAACAAAACAAATAAATGAAAGAAATAAATTACTACATTACCTCAAAGATGTTAACACTGAAATGACAAATATTCCCTTTATTGCACACTTTGCTACAAGTTGTAATTATGTATTTATTTTTAAGAAGACAATCAATCTAATCTGTCCATCGTTCCAACCAACCAACACTCTATCCATCCATTGTCCCCAGAAATTATCCCTGGTGGAAATTTGTGTTTTTCTTTCTCATGCATATTTTTATACCATAACTACATATCTAGGTATTCATAAATAATATTTAGCATTGCTTGGCATTTTCTACTTTACATACTTAACAAAGATGTGATTATACGCTCTCTGGATTTCTTTTTTTTATGATTCTTTTCCCCTTCTGCACATTGTCCCACCACTAATTCCTTCTTTCTAATTTCTCCATGATAATATATACAAATAATACATATACAAAGTCTGCAATAAGCCTAAATATGTTTCCTTAGACAGTGATTCTTTTATTTAGATGGAATAGATTCTAAGCAGGTTCTGCATTTTTTTATTTTAAAAGATGTCCATGAAAAATGGCTAAATATCCTTTCCCCATATCCTCACTTTCCAAATTATGTCCTTCTAGTCTGAAAAGTGTATTTTTACCATTATTTTTAATTTGATTTCCCTCATCAGTGCTACTGATGTGAACAACCTTTTTATACCTAATCTTTCTATGAATGCCCCTTGTGTACCCTTTGCCCATTTTTCAAATTGAATTTTGTTGTCTTATCAATTTTGAAATAATTCTTCTTACATGATAGATATTGGTGGGATTCAGGACACAGTACCTCAAAATTATGGAACCTTGGCATGGTGAATACATTAAACTAAAGGAACTTGAGAAACAGCTCATGTAGCAAGAATTTCTGTCCTTTTCCTGAAACAGGTCAAGGACCCTCATGAGAGAGATACCCTCCCTAAACCCAGAGGAAAGAAGCCTCTTTATCTCTGAAGATGAAGGGATGGAAAGAAATCTAAATTGATTTGGCTTGCTGTTTCCCCCAGTTTACTACTACACTTAGCTCATACCTTTTGTCCTGCTTTAATTTTCTATAACTTGCCACTCTTCATCAAACCTAATATAAAAATGCTGAGGTTTAAACATGTCATCCAGTCTTCATTTCCTTATGAAGGCTCTTGTGTCACATAAAACTCCTATTAAATAAATAAAATGATTTTCTTTTTTAAATCTGTCTTTTGTTGCAGGTGTCCCAGCTGAGAACTTACAAGGGTAGTGAAAAAAATATTTTTCCTCCCCTAAATTATCACTTTTGTCTATCTTCTAACTTACAAATATTTTTCTTCTAAATTACCTCTATAAATTTTTGCATATTTTTGCTATAGATTTTTAAAGTTTATATACAGTTAGATATTTTATTTTATACTTTTATATATTTATGGTTTCTAATATTCATTTAAAGTTTTCTTACCCTCAGATTGTATATATAACCTCTCAATTTTCCAGCCATGGTGCATTTTTTTATGTACCTTAGTTACCTTTTTAATTTTTATAGTACTGACCTACTCAAGTTTTATAATTACTGAGTCAATTTTAATAATTTATATTTTGCTAAGACATCATTGATTTCACCTATGTTTCACATTACAGAATTGGTTGTATTATCTTATGATTAAATTATCTTGTGTCTATGGTTCGTCTCTCTCCATTTTAATCATATGTTTTTACTCTCTTCTTCAACAATCAGGCTGAAAAAAATTTGTTGTTTTCAAAGAATGATCAGTTAGGATTTCTTTATCTTTTATCCTTTTCTTTGTTTTCAGTTTTTTTGATTATAGCTTTTATCTCTATCATTCCTTCTTCTTGATTTAATTGTTCTCTATTACATTCAGCAAAGGGATTATTTCATTAATGAATGAAAAAAGTCTCAACAAGATCTGAGACAAGGTGGTATAATTTAATACAATGAGATTATTAGGTGGGAAAGGGGATCAAACGACTTGTCCCAGCTCTAACTCTCTTAAACCAAGTATGCCTTTTAGTAAGTCATTTAATCTGTCTAGCTAATAAGTTTCCACTTATGTAAACTGAAGAGAGAATACAGAGCCTCAAGATTCCTGTTAGGTAAAGAATTACACCTGGTAAAACTGATAAATATTATGGAAAGAATAAGAGTCAACTGAAGTAGGAATCATTGCCTTCAGAAAAAATATCTAAAAAATATCAATTTATCTATGACAGTGAAATATAATGGAGAACTACACTCATTCTATGAATGTTAAGGTCATAACCTAAAACATTTCACAAACATGAATGTCCTAATACAAGATATTTTTAAAGAAGGTACATCTAAGTCACACTGAAGAATGACAGTGAATGATTTTTTAAAAATAAAATATATCATGTCATTAAACCACATCCTCACATATTTCTTAAAGAAAATAACCTGGGATTAAAATAATCCAAAATGATCCAAAAATACTTCATAAAATTTGTAATCTTGCAAACAAAATTTTGCATATATATTTATTTACATATTTATTGAGAGGATAAATCACAGATAGATTTGAAAAGACCTGAGAGAGGCTGAAAAAAAACTATTCTAAAATAGTAATCTGATTTTCTGCCTTTAGTCTGTGTTTAAACTTTTCCATGATCATACTTCTGTTCTTCCACCAGAGACCTTTCCATTGCTATATAGCTAACAACTAACAACCAGTAAAGACTCTAGTTTATATCAAGTCAAAACTTACCTTTGATAGTCTCATCATTTTTCTTTATTTTAGTCTCTAGAGGATAAGAGAATAAAACAATTCCCCATTTCTGATAATAGCCCCTTACATAGTATTTCAAGATAATTATCTTAGTTCCAAGATATTTTTGTTTTTCTGGCTGATGGCCAAATGGACATGACATTGATTCTAAAATTTTCTCTCAAGGAACACAGTTTTACCATTCATGAAAATAATATTTTATATTTAAAAAAGTTCTATAGTGTAAGTTCTTTAATTCTGACAGGGGAATAGGGAACTCTAAATTTACTTGTGAGTTTCAAAAAGTATTCAGAGAAAACAATTACATCATGTTGATGTATGTGACCTCAGGGATTCTGCAGAATCCTCACATACTTATTTACTTCACTAAATTCTTGGAAACTCTAAGTTATAAAATTATCTTACAAATTGTTTTTTAAAAGTATAGGTTATTTGTCAGAATATTTTTCATGAGTCACACTCATGCAACAAATCTTCAAACTTTAGCCAAAAAAGTCATTTTTTATATTTATTCTTATTAATTCAGAAATAGTAAATGCAGAATATCATTATTTTAGGTGCTACTAAAAACATCATTTACATTAATTCTTTGGGGGAATACAGGGCAAGGAATACGTAGTGGAATTAAGTATAGCACCATACAAGGGAGAACAAATTCCAAGACGTTAAATGAATCTCTAAAACTCAACGCTCCAATTAAATATATAAGAGTAATACTTACGGATACAATTCTGAAAGTTGTTCAGCTATTCCGTAAGCTGTTGGGTCTCTGTCTAAGGCATACAGGGTAATATTTGACTCTTTCTGCAGAATGGCTCTTGCATGTCCTCCTGAACCAAATGTCATATCTAGAAAAATCTAGCCAACACAGAAGAAGAAAATTAGCACTTAGCTTGAACAAAACTTACTCTTCCTAGCAACCTTAATTTCAAGAAACACATAACGGTTTGCAGAGCGCACAGCAAAATATGAAAACAGGTATAATGTTTTGCCCAGAATTCAATTTGTTATATAAGAGATGTGGATCAACTGCGAGTGATCAGTCCAAAAGAATTGGTCTGAAGATCAGTAAAATGCTAATCTCTGGTAGAGGCTGGCCAATTCAAGACAAATTTACATATCATTCCATAAGGTCAAATCGGCCATGGTGTTGAGTGCACCAGCTTTTTAGTGCTTTTTGAACCCTGGCTGGTAATGATATTTCCAACAATTTCTCATCATTTGGAAATACCCTACAATTAGTGTGGCTTACTTTATCTCAATTTCTCTCAATGCTTTATATTAAACACAAAGATATTCAACAATAAGTATAAGTGAGAGAATATACCTAGCAATAAATGGTCACAGGGCAAATTTTTAAAAATCTAACCTGTAAAATTGACAAATTAACAAACCTGACCTGGATAAAATCCCAAGGCTTCAGTCAAAACACTTAACTTCTAACTTTGCTCCTAAGCAGCTCTATATATTTGGGAAAGTCACTTAAAATTCCAGTGCCTTTAGATTCCTCCAGGATTTAGAAAGAAAAAAGAAGATCCAGAAAAATGATATCACCATTATCTACCTAATTAGTAAGGTGACATATAATTTTGCATCTAAACCAAGACAATTTGGAGAGTGAAAAGCATGCTAGTAATTCGTCAGAACAACAGGACACGAAGTATGGCGTGCTATCTTTAAACGCTGGATGATTCTAGTTACACAGGATAGTTAATTGGTTCTGAATCTCCTCCCTGGCTATTTTACTTAGTCACACTATAAAGAAAACACGTCCCAGTTAGGCAAAAACCAGACCTGGATCAGAAGAAACCTATGAATAAACAACTTAGATGACTGTGGCTGCTTTGGAAGTAAAGACACTCGCAGCACATCCTCTCAAAGTTATGCTCTCAGTTTAATGTGCTTTTTCAATAAGCTTCACTGATACTGTGAAAATAAAATCAATTATGCCAATAATAATATTGAATACTATGGCAAATACATATGCTATAAGCCAAACTGTGAAAAATTTTTTAACATACACTTTTTAAAATTACAAGACGAGAAATTCCCATAATGGATTTGAATATTTCTCTGTCCTGAATGCTATTACATTTTGGGGAGAGTGGTTGAAAACAAGGAAAAATTTTGCTTTGATGTTTTGCTACCAGCTACCATGCTGAGTCTCAGCCTCTGATCAAATTCTCAGGAAAGTTAGCCTCCTATTTGAAGAATAATGTGGAGGAAATATTCTGATAAAAATTGAGAAGAGGAGGAGGGATGTAAAATATAAGAGATGTTAATGCAGTAAAAGTGTACGAGCAACGCATTTTAACATAAATGTGTTGGCATAACTTAACCTTGCACTTCAACGCTGTCAGCACAACAGGCATAGCCACACACATTTCCACCATTTTAAACAGTAATTTTAAAACAAGACTTGGTCTTATTATATTTGTATTGATTTCCCTTCCCACTCTGTATACTTATTTCACGCATCTCTGAGTAGGCAAAAATTTTCCACCATACCTTACCCCACTAGTAAAATTGCCAGGAGTTTAGTATAATTTAAACTAATAACTTTTCCCAGGTAAAATTGTAAACCATTTTCTTGTTATGGCCCAATATCAAGCCTTGTTATAACTCTGGATTTAAACTAAGAGTATATCAAATAAAATAATGTGCATACGATTACTTTATCTCAAGCCAGGAAAGTCCCAATCAATATTTAAAAGGAAAAATACTCATCATTAAAAATATTCTGGAAAATGTGAGTGAGATGATGATTATAATTTACATGATTATTTTTTAATATATCATGATTATACCCTTGGAGATGTACTGACAATCAAGGACGGTTCCATGGGAAAAAAAATAATCCGTTATTACCAGTCAAGTGTAACAAAACAAAAAGTGGGAGACGAATGGGGCTTTACGAAACTACAAGTGAACCCCATCATATGCCTTGGGTTAACAGGTGACTGGGGCCATCAACTTTCATGCTTAAAATTGTAATATACATCGTTCATCAAATATAATAGTGAATCACCCAGCACTACAATTGAAAAGGGAGCCAATTAGTTGTTCCCTTCTCTTGGGTCATTAACTTAACATAAGACCACATTTTTAAATTTGTACAAGTTGATAATAAAATAAGAAGACTGGGCAAATTTTTGCTTAACAAGTGTCCAAGAACAAATGAATCTGAATGTTTCAAAATAATCCTCTCTGGGTCTCAACTATATATATATTCAAATATATATCTTATGCTCCCAACATATATGAAACTCTTTCTTTGAAATGACCTGATATAATTTATCTAAAACGCCAAACCCATATTTCATAACGAGTTTATTCTGGTAATTTCACTTGTCACCTGTATAACTCTGGCCAAATCATTTTAACTCTCTGAGCTTCAATTACTTCATCTAAGAAATGGGGATAAAATGTACCCCTGTTTAAGGAGCTGGCTGGACAATGGATGAACTGAGGAAGGACGGACCATCAATCATGGGGTTCCCACTGCAACCAGAGTTCTCTGACCCTCTTTGATCCCAGAGGATCTCCACAGGATAGAACCAAAGGCATCTCAGGGAAAACTATGTATGGTAATTGGGGAGTGATAAGATATAGGGTCTCCGCAGGGCTCTGGATGGGGATGGGTGGGGAGGGTTTGGGAGGGGGTGTTTGTGTGTGTGTGTCGGGGGGAGGCAATAACGGAGATTGGTAGCTTCTCAGAATAGCGAGTAGGGGCTCAGCATCAGATGAAAGTGATTTAAAAAAAAAAACTAGCATTTAAGACAGAGGATTCGTAACGATTAATGTTTACTACCAATTTTTGAAATTTAAATTTATTTTTTAATTATAGGTGACGTACAATATATTCATTTCAGGTGTACAACATAGTGATTCAACATTTGTGTACCTTACAAAGTGATGATTGCAGTAAGTCTAGGACCCAGCTGGCACCATAGTTATTACAATATTATTGACAATATTTTCTATACTCTACATCCTCATGACCACTCTGCTACCAATTTAATACAGTAGCTTCAGTGTATACAAGTAGGTGATCAGTGTATATCTCATGATGTAATATGAAAAAAAGGCTCAGCATCCAAGGTAATGATGATAAAGATGGCAACACTCATTTGTGCTTAAGAATTCAAAATATTCTTCAAGATTTAAGAATCATTACCATCGAACCATGGAAAATAGTTGCAATATATCCAACTTTTGAGTCATTTAACATCAATGTATTCCTAATATTACAAATTAATTCATTAATAAACAGGACTTTTCTAGAACATCAGTAATGATCTGTAATTAACAGTATTATATAACTCTATAGCTCCATGTTTTTATTTGCCTATCAGCTCTCCTTTACATTTGAAATAAGAAAATGAACACTTCTTATTTCAGGTTAGCTCTTTTAATCAAATACAGCTAAATGACATTTTATCCCAGATGGTCTTCTAAATATCATAGAAATGGATCAGGTTCTACCTTTCACCAGGATGAGTCACACTTGAATAGTTTAGCCATAGCTGTGGATCTGATATGGACAAAGTAGAAATAGAAAATTTCAGAGCTCAAAAGCACGTAACAGACTATTTATTCCACCTCCTCATTTTACTTATGAGGAGACCAAGGCTCAAAGAGGGTAGCTGATACCTAGATGAGTGCACAGCTAATACTAAAACGTAGCTCCGTCCTCTTCCCACTTCATCTCATAATACTCCCCCACTGAAAGGATATGTTGCACCAAAATAAAAACAATCCTTCTTTGAAAAAGTATTTTTCCTGTATATGAAGATAGATGTGGGAACTCTGTATCTTTTTTAAACAAATTTTTCAATTCTAGGTACCGTACATCGTATTAGTTTCAGGTAAACAACAGTGATTAGACATTTATATACCTTATGAAAAGATTATTCCAGAGGGGAAAAAATCCTAGTTTAATTTTGTTATTATACATTGCTTTGTCTTTCTACAGAATACTTGGCACTACAGTTTCACACCTCTCAAATGTGATCAGCTTTAAAGACTTAGCTAAGGCTGTTCACTAACGAAGTAGGTTGACAGAAATCAAACAGTTTACCAATGATCGTCCTGCACAGACTAGATAATTAGATGTTTTTTTCCCAATCCAACAGTTCTAACCATTGAAATTTTCAGACTGGAACAACACTGTTAAAATTGGACATGAAAACATTTTTAGCCATGAACGGTATGAGGGCAGATCTTCAAATTTCATTTTCCTAATGTTGATTAGTCATTTCCAATCTGTGCAAGATTTTTAATAGTAAGTTCTCATCTGAATTTGGAAACAATATGGCCTGATTTCACTTTAAAATTTCTTCTTATGCATATTTTCTTTCCTAGCAATCATTAATTTTGAATTCTTAGAATTAAAGTACTTTTGGAAGAATTTTAAACTTCACCTATTTGCAACTACTAGTTTCATTTTCAAATACTAAAATGCCTCAATTGTATGCTAAACTTCCTGGATTTCTGGAGGTGATTAAATTAAAATGTATGGCATTAATTAATAATCTGTATTATGTACTGACTATTCCATATATATTAGGTCATGGAATTCAAACAAAGATATTAAGTTATGGGCCTTCCAATATGTTAAGAAAATTTAGACATACACATGAATAACTACTAGTAAGATGAAATCAGCAATAAAAGAAAGGCATATATAACATTTTATACAGAGTATAGAAAATAGATTTTATTTTAAGGGGTAGTGAAAAGGATGAAAGAGAAACAGGTAATAATTCAGCTGGGCCTTACTCTCCTACATTCGCCAAATCCAATTAGTCACCAAATGCTGTTGATTTTAACATAAGCATGTTTTAAGTCTTTCCAAT